AGTCCAAAAAGAGGTAGGACAAAAATGAGTATCCGGTTCAAACAAATATCCCTCCGAGTATTCGGCTTTGTCGGTTTTTATTAACTATCTGACAGAAACGAAAATCGTTGCAAAAATTCCGGCTGCTGTTTTCACTCCTACCCCGTCCGTTGATGGAGTGCTGGTATCAATTGAACCTTATCAAAATGTCAACACTTCAAAAGAGCAATTAATTTCTTTTTTGCGTTTTTTGAAAAATTGCTTTCGCTTCCGCCGCAAAACTCTCTTAAATAATCTTTTAAGTTGAGCGAGAAATTACGAAAAGGAATGAAAAAAATACTTACAAGAGAAAGGTTATGAGGAGAAAATTCGCCCCCAAAACCTAAACCCTTCTGAATATTGGCAATTATTTATTTTTTGACAAGGGCTTGCGTAATTTTTTTATTTTTTTGATTACTGCCAGACTAACCGCGCTTACCACCCCAATCACTCCACAAATAGCCAAGATTTCAGCAGAACCCATAGTTGGTTGCTTATTTACAGTTGGTTCATTATTGCTATTATTATTTTTTTGTTCCAAGTTAGACAATTCATTAATAGCCTGTTCTATTCTTTCTTTTAAGAGTTGATAAGTTTCTGCGTTTTGTTCTTTTTCTTTAAGTAGTTTAGATAAAGTTTCAGGGTTAAATTGGTTGTTCTTAATTAAGAATTCAGCCTCAATGATTAATTTTAATAATGCTTCAGATTGTTCTTTTTGTTCTGGAGTGGTTGAATTAGAATTGTTTTCAATGGTGGATTTGTCTTTATCGTTATTGTAGTTTTCTTGAATAGTTTCGGGGGAAGGGAGAGGATTATTAGTGGGTTGTTCTTGGGGTTCTTGATTAGGAGTAGGATTGGATTGGTCTGGGGTGTTGTTGTTTTGGCTAGTGGAGTTGGGTTTTTTTTGTTTGTTAACTAACTTTGACAGGGTGGTTTTTTTTTATTGATACAGATAGAGTTTAAAATGTTCTTATACTTTCACAAACCAAAGAATTAATTTTTCCTCTTTTTACTCCTATTTTCAAAGTAAATAATAACTCACTATGAATTACCAGATTTTCTTTATTTTTTTGATAAAAATCGGAACTTATGTTTAATTGAAAAGCATTTCTGATATCTTGTAATGAAAGGATATAATTACTCTCACTTTTCTTTTCTAGACCACAAATAATCGCATATATATTGAGGGAGGTCTCTTTGTTATCGTATTCTTCAATTTTCTGTAAAACCGCAGACAGAGAGTAAATTTTATAATCGTGGGTGGCTAATTCTTTTGGCCTGCGGCAACTTTCGTTTGGGTCTCCGACAACTACTCCGTTTGGTCCTTTAGAAACTTCATTTCAACGAGAGAAATAACTAACATACAATCCCAAACTTTCAAACTCTCTTTGATTAATTAAGGCTTTATTGAGGACCAATTTTTCGGTTGACAAATGTAAAAAAGGCAAACCATTATTAACCACAACCAGTCTCTTTCGGATCGAAAGATAACGAAAAATTGCGACTTGATTGCTTAATAAATTATCAATCTCTACTCCTAAACTGTTAAATAAACCACTTTTTACTCATATTTCAAAAACTCCGGCTTCAACTTTTTCTCAATAATTTAGGGTCCGGGCAATTAAATCTTCCCAATTCTTGTAAATTCCTCCTTTTTTTCTCTCCGTAATTAGGGCTTGGAAAAACTCGGGTTGATATCCTTTTAAATTGCTAAATCCCATTAATAATTCATTATCCTTTTTAATTCATTCTAATTCTGAGTGATTAACATCAGGTCCTTTAATTTGAAATCCGCAAAAGAACGCCTCTTGTAAGTAGAATAATTCTTTTTCTTTTTTTTTATTAAGGAAATAGGTAATTAACTTGGGGAGAAAATTGGCTTTTAAATAAGCAATATAATAAGTTAAATAACTGTAAGCGACAGCGTGAGCCTTATTGAAAGTGTAGCCCAACGAGGAATTGATTTGCCGATAAATTAATTTGCTTTCGGTCAAAGTTATTTTTTTTTGGGCTTGGGTGAGAAAATCTTTCGGCAGTCCTTTTTCTGGTAATTCTCGCCTTTTTACTTCGGCTTCGGCGAACGATCAGTCATAAACCAGAACCAAAATTTGGCTAATTTGTTCTTCAAAGATGATATGGCCGTAAGTCTCGGTTAATATTTCCCTAATTGCTGGAGAAGTGAAACTAATTTTAGCGTTATTGTTTTTGTTTTGGGATAATTCTTCAGCCTTTTTTCTGGTGCCTGGTCGGTTGAGGGAAAGAAAAATTACAAGATCGGCAAAGCTTTGCGGACGAAATCTATTAAAAAGGGTCCGGGCAGAGGGGGTGTCTAGTTGAAAAATCCCAGTTAAGAGAAAATTTTTTAGATTGTCCCAAGTTTTTTGATCTGTCAAACTTATTTTTTGATAGTCTGGCAAAGAGGTTGACAAAATTGACCGGGCCTCCCGAATAAAACCAAGCGTCTCTCGTAAACTCAAAAAGTCATATTTTTTGAGTCCCAATGCGGCTAATTTGTTTTCTTCAAAGAGAGTCAGCAAATAATCTTTTTCGGCTTTCAAAGGGACTAATCCCACCAACGAACCGGTGCTAATGACAACTCCGGCTGGGTGGATACCAGTATCATAATATAGGTTTTGGATTTTTTCAGCCAATTTGAAAAGAGCAGGATAAGCGGTCTGTCATTTTTGTAATTTCAATTTACTGAAATCGGGGTTTTCACCAGTCAAAGAAGTAATTTCCTTTAATTTAATCTCGTCTATTCGGTATAATTTAACTATTTCTCGCAAAGCGACTTTCCAACCAATTTTTTTGCGAGTAATAATGCGGGCTACCTGTTTTTTTGAATATTTTTTTTGTAAGTAATTAAAAACTTCGTCTTGATTTTCTACATCTAAATCGATATCCGGCAAGGATTTTCTTTTTTCATTGAGAAAGCGAGCAAAAAATAATTTATGTTCCAAGGGGTCAATTTGAGTTATCCCTAATAAATAGGCAACCAAAGAAGCCACGGCACTGCCGCGTCCAGGTCCCACAATAATATTTTCAGCCCTTAAATGCTGGGCGACATCACTGAAAATTAAAAAGTAATCAGCATAATTGAGTTGAGCGATAACCTTCAATTCTTCGGTCAGAGTTTGTTGATATTGAGTCTCTTTTTCTTTTTTGAGAGCAATTATTTTTTGCCAACATTTACTTTTGAGGAGGAGAAGCGCACTTTCTTTCTTGGCTTCGCTCAATTTTTCGCTCCGGAAAGAGGGATTGAGTTTAATTTTGGTGAGAAAGGTTTGTCATTGAATAAGCAGCAATTGATAAAAAGTTGAGTCGTCCGTGCAACGAGAAAAATAGTCGGCCGTATTTAAGTAAGAAGTAAATTCGCCGCTGGTGTCATTCGGAAAAAAATAGCGCTGGAAATTAGTCTTTTTTCATAATCCTAACAATTTAATTTCTTCAGGAGATAGGCATTTCACGGCAAAGAAAGGAAGTAGGCGGGGAATAATCTGAGACGGAATAGATTGGGAGGGGGACAGGAGAAAAAAATCAAACCCGAGAAAAATATTTTCGTAGTTGACCTCTTTTTGGGGCGAGCGGGTGAGAATTCATTGAGCGGCTAGGTGCTTTATTTCTTCTATTTTTTGGGCCTCTAAAACAATCAGACAATTTTT